TGGATTTGTTGGTCATGCATTTCTCTCATGTTCTGCATGGCCATCTGCATTTTGAGTCTTCAAGCATCTTGGCCACTTGCTCCGCACTTATCATGAGTGCCTCGCGGGGTTGTCCCTCGCTAGATACCGTATTATCTAATGCAACCGCGGAGCCAGCATCAGATTCTTCATCTTCTGAAGGTAATCTTGTCCTAACCCTACCATAAGTTCCTCGTGTAATGGCTCCAGACTGCAGATGAGTTAGATACCGGGGTACTGACGGAATTGACTCGGGATTATCCCGTGTCGATGCCCTTTTACTGGTCATATTGGCGGTGACCCTCGGAAATTCTCCATATTCAACCACCGTTCTTCTTTGCCGGAAATGCCTATGCCTTGGTTTTGGCGTTTCGGTACTAAGCCTTTCGAACACTGAAATTCTCTCGGGGACTACTTTGATGCAGTTGCATTGAGACAGTACCGCCCGAATGAGCTTTGGACAAGGGCACTGAGTTTCTAGCCTTCGAGGACTTCTCTTTCTGGCTTTGCTCGTACCCCCAGCACGATAGTACAGCTCTTCCGTTTGAAAGTCGGAGCAACCTATCGTGTGTTGGCACGATTTCTCAGGTATAACGCAATCATCATTAGACGATAACGTTTCCTTCTGAGAGCGAATTACCTTCTTCGGACCTTCGAGAGTCACGTGCCTCGAAACGCGCCTTTGTGGGCGTGAATTCTCAATGGGCTCCTGAACTTCGATGCGCAAAGTAGTGCGCTTGGGTGCCATGATTTCTTTGTCATGTTGAGGGTTGCGGCGACTCCCATCATGTTGATTCGTTCGGGGCTTTGTTAATGGGCCCAAACGTCCTTGAATTGGAGCTTTGCTTCGATCCTCAGGAAGTGGACCGAGGCGCTCCACGACTGACTTCCTTTTTTGGGATGGTCCTGCGGGATCTCCCGGAGCAGTTGTGGAAATCATCGGTGGTCTGGATTGATTCACCGGAAGTTGCACTTTCGACGGTTGCAGTTGCTGCTTTTTGGTCTAAACCGCTGCTTCAGACTTTGGCCTCCAAACTTCGCGGGTTGGTGGCGGCTTCTTGGCTACCTCTTTCTGCAGCTTTCTACGGGCTTCTTCGGCTTGAGCCCGCGCCTATGCTGATAGTGCGCGGTGTTTGCGGATACGTTCTTCCAGTGTCGAACGATTCTGTCTGACACGGATCCATTCCATTGTTGGCGGCTTGGAAGAGGCGCCGTTCATCTGTTGTTGAGGCTGTTTGCCTCTCATGTTCTTCAGATCCGCGTTGTAGCGGACCCCGTCAACTGACTCCATGGCCTTTACGAATTGTTTCGCAAGGCGTTGATGTTGCCTTTGACGGGCTCTCTTCGAGAGAGTCACCACGCCCTCTGCGGCAGAAGGGTTGGCTAGAGCAAATCTGCCCTGGTTGGGAATTGGAGGAATCTCACCCGATGCGACTTTGGCATCAAACGAGGCGAGATCTTCGTTGGTGTTTTCAACGTCTTCATACCAACGAGTTTTTCTCCTGGAGGAGAACTTTTTGGACTTACGGGGGGAGGTTGATCCGGACAAGGACGACAAGAATTCCTCGAACTTCTGCTGGTCGAACTCGTATTCGACCTCCTCCACGACCGGGATTGAGATCCGCGGCTGCGACGCTCCGATCTCGGCAGCGAGATCGGCGGCTCCCACTGTGGTCGCCAGATTATTCACGGGGAAATCGTGTTCTTCATTGATTCCATTGCTCTCTCAAGTAATTGCTTTTTGATTACAAAAGATCCGCTCTTTTTATAAGATCCGGTTACAACGAAATCAAAGAAAAAGAAAAAGATTAAACTTTCCTTTCGAACGAATCACGAGCTCCTGTTTTGCGGTCGCTCGCTTGTGTGGGTTCTTCACCTGCGCCGGGGTTTATCCGTGGACCACCACGCGATCTAGATCCGGTCGGATCTACGCAGTATGACGGGTATTATTTCGCTAAGGAAATAATAGCCGAGGGTACTATTTCGCCAAGGAAATAGTAGCCTTTAGTTCTCGGGATCAAAGGTCAAGCTTTGATCCGGAGGATGACTACGTAGATCTGAGATCCAGTTCCTCTCGAACTCTTGCCTTATTTGGCGTTGATGATCGCCGAGCACCAGATCTGTAAGAGCAAGTCCTCAAAGTCCCAAAGCTTCAATCTTTCTAAGTTCTGAGCCTTGAATCCGGCAGAGCTTCGCCTCCAAATTTTAATATGGCAGTAAATCCGCCTCGGTGTTTGAGTTCAAATCCGTTCTATGGTTGGATGACTCGTTGACTCACTAAACCGTTGGCTTGATTCCGCACGTGAATGGATGTATTCTGTTGCTCGCGTACGATTCGTTAACCTCGTCGCCTCGTTAATCCGCTTCGTTGCGTGTCACTTGGCTTCGGCGTTGTGGACTGACGCTCGTGTTTGGATATGTCGCCCGATGGTTCGTTGGTTTGTTGAATCACCGTGCCGAGCTGTGTTAAGGGACCTATAAGCAGTTTTATACGCCTACAAAGATGTAGCTATTACACTTTGGCTCCAGATTGATGGCCCAATCGTTATGGGCACTGGTGCCCACAATTAGAAGGATGTATGTGAGAGGCTTCTTGAGGTGATTCCTATGTTGAGGAGTGGTGTAATGAAGCTATCATGGCTTCGAGAGACGTTTATGAGAGATATACCTCTTGATGCTACATAGAAGATGATTCAATACTTTTCTCGAGCTTACATATTACACATGCTAGGTGCTATGTTATTTACTGATGCGAGCAAAAATCATGTACATGCTTAATGGTTGACCATTCTAGACGATTTAAAGGAGTGTGGAACTTTTTTTATAGGATAGTTTGGTATTAGCATACCTCTATAGAGAACTAGCAAAGGTTTCATTAATGGACAATATGGACTTCAAGGGTTACATAGCATTGCTATAGGTTTGGTTGTGGAAACACATATATATTGGATGACCTACTTTACAGACGCGTCGCGATCTACATGGGCAGTTTCTAGTAAGATGCAGGTATACAAATGTAATATTTAAAATTATTTTTATTACTTAGTTTTATTCATATGGAAATTTACGATAGCTTTTTCATGTCAAAAAGATATAATGTGAGGAGGTATTCTATAATACTCTAACCAAAAATATAAATTTTTATAGAAATGAGCTAGAAATCATGCAACACAAAATGGGTGAAATTTGTCTTAAAATTCAAAATTTATATCCATATTTTGTTGTAGATCCTAATACACATTTTTAAAATTATTTTTCAATTCAAGTGGATGCCTTATACTCATGATGTTCTCGATTCTCTGCCACCTATTTGTAGAGGGAGAGCTGATTTGTGGAGGGCCAGAGTATCGTTGACCTATTTTGAGATTGTGGAGATGCATGTGCTAGATTGTGTTTCACGACAATTTAATATAGGACAACATTTGCTCAATCCAGTTGAGCAAATCAATTGTACGCGTCGGATGACATCACATCATGTGGACTATAGGAGTTATTGTGAGGCCTACATAGTCAGATGGAACGATAGACATAATCTTGTAGAGCATAATAGGGCTTCACTTTCCTATACAGAGTATATGAGTTGGTATTAGGATATTCAATGTAGATAGATAATACCATGACCCACAACCAGCAGCTAGATTCATACCATACCCCTCATTGGATACTTGCATGCCGAGAGGTATGGTCGAAAGAGATTATGTAAGTTTTTAAACTCAGGCAAAAAAAGAATATTCTTCTTTTGAAATTATATGACTTGCTAAGCCATATATCTTCAAATTAAAATGCAGGTCCAGATATTTGATGATAGTGAAGAACATCTAAATGAGAGCATTGCTGAGATTGGGGATCCAAATGCACTATTAATATCCAATAATATCAGACGAATGATAACTGTTGTGTTCCATAAGAATCATATCAACGAGTTTGAAGGCCATGAGGATAGGATATGAGAATTCGTAAAGGTGTTCAAGCATAAGGCAGGCTTTTCTAAGGCGCATGATGATGGAGCTAACACTTCTCAGTGTGCTCCACTTGATGAGGATGATCCACCCACTACACAAACCTCATATACATCTAGACAATGACATCATCGAGGCTCATGTTCACGGACGTGGGGGATGTGGGGGAAGGGGGAAGGGGTAATAGAGGGACAGGAAAGAAGTGAGGATTGCTTGGATGTATGCGACCTTTTTTATATAATATGATAATTGTTTTGTGATTTTGGAAGTTTTGTGAATATATATGGTTGGATTATTCAAAAATATATGTATTTATATAATTAGATTTTAGTGTATTATGTGGTTGGATTTTCATGTACTGATGGTTGGTTAGATTTTCGTATATACATGTGGCTAGATTTTCGTGTATATGTTGAGATTTTATATAAATTGCAGGTCGTGAAAGGTAGTTTGAGAGTGTACATGTTATGAAGGATATGACAGAGAACAAGTTGCCATCAGAATGAGTCTGCAACTCCATAGGATTCTCAATTCTGTAGAGTTTTGTATGACGGATCTTGTGAAGTTTTGTACTTTCAAAACTTGACTGGATTTGCGATCTTGTAGAGTTGAGTAACGTGCTAAACCTCACGAGATTGAGCATCCCATGAAGTTTAGTTATCCGCTAAACCTTACGGAATCCTCAATCCCTTGAAGTTCGTGGAAATTTTTTTCGTAGTTTCGACTAAGTTTTAGCCTAAGTTGCTCATGCGACCGAAATTAAATCTAAAGTGATGAATAAATTACAAATAGATTCATTTTGGTTATTAAGTTTTTAAAATAGTCTATTTTGAAAATTTGTCCGATACTATCTGCAAAGATTCTAACATCAAATCCAACGCCCCGTGATCTAAATCCATGATCGTCTGAGAATTCCAACCGCTTATCCCATCAAAACAAATCTATACCGTTCAATATATCTCAGCACCAAATCCCATCCATGAAAATAAATACAATTTGATTTCAAAAAAGCGAAGAGGGAGAGAGAAAGAGAGAGAAACGCTCTTTCTTGCTCTCATCTTGTTCTTTAAAAATCCCAACGAGAAAAAGATCGTTCAAAAACTTCTTTTTCTGAGTTTCGAGGATTCGTCATTGATTGATTCAGTTTCGACGGCGGCGATCTCTCGAGCCCTCTCCCCGTCAAGATTCCCGCGTTGCTGGTTCCCGCCATCTCCGGCGATCTGTTGATCTTTGGTTCGATCACTGTATTTTTTATGGATCGTGGAGTTCAATCCGCGTCGTCGCCGCTCTCTCGGCAGCTCGATTTCGCGCCTTCTGTTTCCAGCTCTCGTTCTTCGATTTCGACGCCCTTGTGAGTAGAATTGTCAATTTTACTGTTCTTTTCTAAAATCTAGTTTTCGGAGCTCTTGGTTTGGATGATGATTTTGTAAGGGTATCTACTTGTAGTTGCTTTTTTGGGTCTAATTTGAGTATATCAGAGGGACGTAGTTGGGATCTGTCATTGATTCATTGATTTCTTCATGATTTGGATTTGATGTAGCAAAAAAAATTGATTTTGTTGATTATTTGCAATCTCTCCTGAAGAAAGAAGCTTAGTACCCCTGTTTATTGTTTTGATTTTGTGACGCATGTTCAAAATATACTGTTAGCTCAATGATTGTTGCATTACAATGTTTCAAAATTCATCTTTCTTTTTTGGGAGAATCTTAGGGTCTTCATTGAACTGTTCAGAATGGAAAAAATTTGCATCATTTCTGGGATTGTTCTTCACGGGGAACTTACAAGAGTAGAGGTTAATTAGGTTGATTTTTTTAATGTTTCTTTTTCCCTCTTGCTTGTGTTCGTTTATTGTCTTGGTGACGTTTTCTTTGTTTGTTAATTCTAACTTCTTGATGGATTAATCTGTTATTTAATGTCGTTGTCATATTTTGTATTTTGTTTGTGATTATTTGTTCTCTTTGTGGTTAAAAATGCTTTTAATCGGACTTTCTGGTTGGTGCCGGAAGTGAAATCATAATTGCATGTGTAAATTTTACCTGTTCTGCGAAAGATTTCTTGTCATTTCGCCTTGTGCACTACAATATGCATGTTTTAGTACCAAATCAGAAACTTTAGGGACTTTTTCGGTTTTATAATACCTTAGGTATTTCATCTTACCCTTTTTCTTTTTTGGGGGAGTTTATGACTAATTAAGAGTTGGAGTTCTGGGACTATTAGGTGTGGGAGTAAGCTGCTGCTTGTTGTAGCATCACAGTGGTTGAAATGTGCATAGACAGTCTCTTACTTTTTTAAATCTGATATGAGGGTCTTCCTTCTACCATGTGTTATGTAATTACTAATTAGGGCTGCTGAGTTATTCTTTTTGTCAATGGATAGTCTAACTATGATACTAAGTTTTAATTATATTTAGATTTTTAATAAGTGTCAAAATTGTAGTCCAATGTAATAACTGATTATAGTTCTCACCAGTTGGCGGCTTTCTGAAAATAATCTGATTTTTCCACGTCAAATGGAAACATCTGTTAGTAAGCTTTAAATGTTCTCAGATACACGGCCCACCATGGAAATACTAGTTTGGTGGAACTTTTATTGAAAGAAGAATTGTTAGTTCAAGAAGATTTTACCTGTTGTCTGACGATCACTACTCCAATCTTTTTTTCAGGAAGTCAGAGTCCCCAAGATCATGGACAATACCTACATTTGAAACGAAAATTGTCACTCCAAAGAAAGCAAAACAATGCAATTGCAAAAATTCGCAATGCTTAAAAAAGTAAGTGTCATTATTCTTCACAACTATAGAAATTCTGTCTTTTATAAGTCATTACTTAATCTGCACCGATGTTTGTATCTGCTGTTGAGACGCACATGAATTATTGTTTTCGATTTACTTCACTGACAAGATGATTTTATTACTTATTTGGAGGATAAAAATTGAGGTCAACCCCTTAGTTTATATAAAAGGAGTTTAACGCAATCGTGAAGGCTAGTATTGAAATTTGGTGTTTTTTCTGCTTCCTTATGAAAGAAGTAAATATTTTTCATCTTGCGTAAAGGGCCAACTGAAAATTTTCAACCTAATCAACTGTTAGTTTCTGCTCATAAATACATTCACATAGTGGCATATAAATCTATAAACATTGTTGTGCCACCGTGTCATTGTCTTGTTGTTGGTCGCTTTTAGACACTTGAAAGTTTACAATCACGTTTATGTTAAACTAAAAACGAGGTAAACTGCATGGAAGGTATGGGGAACTGGAGGAAGGAATCAAGTATGGGTCACTGATTTCCCCTCACTTTCCATCCAAACATCTTTTGAAGCTTTGTTCAAAGAGCTGTCTTCAAAGTCTTGAGGAGGCCAATAACCAAGATGTATGATTTAACTCACTAAAGCTGTACATTTTTGGCGCATGCCAAGAGCATAAAAGCTACTTTTACTTTTGTCAGACAAAATTTTATAGTTTGAAGCAGAAGATAATGACACAATTACAGTACACGACAGTTTTGTATTTTGGGTAGAATGTACTACAAATCTATTGTATTTTGTTGAAAACATAATAGTCTATTTTTATCTTAATTTTTTATAATTCATCTATCTTTACTAGTATAATACAAACTTATTATTTAATTTCTTTCTAGATTAGTAGTATCATTTTTCTATTGGGGACATAACATGGCTGAGTTCCCATTTCCTTTTTCTTTCTCACGCCAAAGAAGCTCATTGAAATGTGGATTTCTTGATGTATTATCATAACTATCTGCATGTGGTCATACTTTCTAAAACACGTCCATCTTCCATTACAGGTAACTAGTGTGCACCCCATGCAAAACACAGCCTCCATTTTTTTATTTCCCCTACAGTAATTTTGTATTTAAATATAGTTTTTGTAAGTGCTACAGTAACAGCCTAAAATGCTACAATACCCTGTCTGAGCTACAGTAACAATGCTAAGTAATGCTACAGTAATAATTTACGGTGTCATTTACTGTAGCATGAATAATGAATCTTGGATCTTCCCATTATTATAGAGGAATAGATATTGTAAAATGTACGGATATAAGAGTAATTTAACCACACACAAAAACCAATCATTTGCCCCTTCTTCATACAAAAACGAGCCATCTGCCCATTCTTCAAATTAGAAGGGGGCTTACCTTATATATTACCTACAATTTGGTTCCAACTGAGTAATATTCTCTCTTGGAATGTGTATGCTTGACTACTGCAGCAGAATGTTGGAATTCATGAAAACATTTGACCTTTTATTTTATCCTACTATCATGTGAATAAGCATAAATATGTTTTTACTCTGAACTTCTACTTTCTTGTTTGCTGAATGTTTACTATTGTCTTAATTTTGATGCTGGATGTTAGGTACTGCGAGTGCTTTACAACAAATACTTACTGTAAAGGGTGCAATTGTGTGAATTGCCACAATGTTGAGAATGATCCTGCTAGGAAGGATGCTATCGAAGCAGTTCTAGATCGCAACCCAAATGCCTTCAGGCCGAAGATTGACGGTAGCCCTCAAGCTGCACGAGATAAGGTGTGTATACAAATATGTCATGGTTTCCTTGCAATTCACCTTGGACCTGAAAACTATATGAATATGTCCAGGTTTCTTTGCAGTTCACCTTTGACATAAAAACTAGTGCTTATACTTGCATATAGAGTTTTGTGCATATGTTATACATACTGTAATAAATGACTAATGATATGCCCAATTCAGTCTCTTAACTGTTTTGCCCTCTTGCTTGTGCAATTCGTCCAAAAAGGGATCTGAAAATTTGTCACTTTTGCAAGTTAAATGTCCAGGACTGGTTTGTTTAACTGTATTGTCAATGTGTCCAATATCTTCCCATATGAATTGAAGAATGCCCTTGTCTTCTGTCAGATTATGACTTTCAAAGTCTGTATCCATCAGTCTTATCAATTTTTAAATACTGTAGGAATATTTATGTGATAGTCGAATATTCATTCCGCTGAAATTGCTTTAGTATGTTGTAAAGGTTTCTTTTGGATTACACCTGCACACTTGATTAACTTTCCTCCAAACTTATTTTTCCTTGTTCTAGATAAATTTTATTGTTGCCTCGTTTTTATATCTTAATCATCTTTGGGGTACTCTTCTTCTAAATTGACCAATTTGAAGGCTAAAGCTGATAGAAGATTCTTTCTTTTGTAATTCTATCATGTGAACTTGTAGAAAATCTTTCGTGCATTCAAGAAAATATCACTTTTTTTAGGTGGTAATTCTTCTCTCTATTGATATAACTATCTCAACTCTGTAATCTGTATAACCTTTTTATAAATCTGTTAACTAATAATTATATGACCTTTTATTGATGTTTTTCGAAGAATACATTTATATTTGCAATCCATGTTCACGTGTTGCAGTGTGATACTTATTTCTGATGAGTTTTACTGTAACCTAATATAAATGTGATTTCCTTTATGTTAGGAAAATGCAGGGGAACCCCCTTTGCTGGTAAGGCATCATAAAGGTTGTAACTGTAAGAAGTCAGGGTGCCTTAAAAAATACTGTGAGTGCTTCCAGGCTGGCATACTCTGTTCAGAAAATTGCAAATGTTTAGACTGCAAGAACTTTGAAGGAAGTGAGGATAGGAAACTCCTGTTCAGTGTTGACCGTGGAAATAGCCTGACCTACATTCAGAAGACAGCAAATGCCGCAATTAGTGGGGCGACAGGATCCTCTGGATTTTTCTCTCTAGAAAATAGAAAGAGGAAGAGTCACCACCTCCTATTGGGTGCAGCCATAAACTCTCAACCATTTCACGGGAATGGACAAGCATCACAGGTATATATTATTATTTTTTATCTTGTCACCACTTTCTGTGCTCTGAAACATTTAGTGTTCCTTATTATAATTTTTCATTTATTATATTGTGGGATTACTCTTTTACCTAACATGCAGGACTTCAAATCCTAGTTCACTGACAATAGGCTTTTCTATCAAACCAATTGAGAAATGCTTCATATTTGCTACTTTGAAATATCTATATATTTTTCATTGTTGCTGATGGTGTATTGGTCAGGCTAATCATCTAACTGGAGCTCAACTTAGTTCTTCGTTCACTGGTATACCAGTAGCCCATGTAATTATTCCTTCTCCGCAATCTAAACTCACATACAGGTATAAGTCTATCTTCAAGTGATATTATGAAGCTGTACCATACTCTGTGTTTTATCTTTCATGTAGCTTGGAATTTATCTGGTTGATCAGGAAAGCAAATCTATTTTTGTTCATTTTGAAGGTCTCCTCTAGCAGACATCATTCAACCAGAGACTGTGAAGGATCTATGTGTGAGTTTGGTTGTAGCATCAGCAGAGAAAGCAAGACATCATTCAACCAGAGACTGTGAAGGATCTATGTGTGAGTTTGGTTGTAGCATCAGCAGAGAAAGCAAAAGCATTTTCTGGTATGGCTGAAAAAGGATCTATGTGTGAGTTTGGTTGTAGCATCAGCAGAGAAAGCAAAAGCATTTTCTGGTATGGCTGAAAATGTATTTTCGGATGGCTTAATTTGTTTTTTGTTTACAAACTGTTGAAATTTAATTCCATATAGCATGCAGTTGTCTTTTTTCTTTATTCAGTTATAGTTACTATTGGAATCAAAATATGGTTACTATCGGATATTTAACGTTGCTACTTGCATAAAAACTGTTGCTGCTTTGAATGAGCCTTGTTACACCATACAGATACACCATTCAGATGATTTCAGATCCCTATTTCTGAAACCAAAACAGAGCTAGTGTGACTGATAAGGATAAAATCTTATATATTTCACTATTGTAGTTTTCGAGTCTTCATTTTATCATGTTACAATCTTCTGAATCCCCTCACCACTTGGTATTTGTTGATGGAAGTCCTCACATTGGTATGCAAGCCTGCTCTTTCGTAGTAGAGACCTTGAATCCCTACTCAACATGGATGTCAAATGTTAAGGTGGCTAAAATATGAGGCTCAAAACATATGATATACTTTTTTAATCTTTAGAATCTGGACCATTATTCTTCACTGGTCGCTACAAACTACTAGGGTACCCTATAATGTCAAACACAATGTGTTCGTTTAAAACATTGTAGACTTAGATTATTGTTTTGGTTTCATTTGTTCAGTTATTTATTATTAGGCTTATTTGCATATGTAATCCTGAAATCATGGGTATTTGCAAAAATACCCTCCAAATCTTAGTATTTGCAAAACCACCCCTCAAATCATTAATTCAAGAGAAATTTACTCTCAAAGCAGTTAATCATCAACTTTGTTAAGTTAATTTGTAATTGCAATGTAAAAAATTATCAACAAATTAGTCAAATTCTCATCACCAAGTTGATGATTTGTTGAGTTTAGGGGTATTTATTTTCTTTCCAATTTTGATGATTTGAGGGGTAGTTATGCAAATACTAAGATTTCGGTGTATTTCTGCAAATACCCATGATTTAAGGGGTATATATGCAAATAACCCTTATTATTATTGCTAGCTGAGATACTACTCATGACAGAATTTCTTTATTCAGAATAATCTGCTCATGTTGCTTACTGTCTGACCAGTAGTAGGTCATATAATTGAAATGCACAATTTTACTATTTCATAAGGAAAACTCTAATGACAAGGGAATATCACTACATTCTGTACATCAGTAATCTAAATGTTCAATGTTCAATATCTCAGAGAAATCTCATGAAGAGAAAGTCCGGGAGGGGCCATCTCAAACAGAATCCTCCTTTGCCTCATCAAGAAATGTTGAGGATGAGAACAAGCAGGAGCATAATGCTAAGGAGTCATCAGCAGATGACTCTTCAAGCGGACCTCATTCTCCCAAGAGTAGCATAGAGGAGTTAGGGTCAGAGTCTGCTGATGCTCAAATAAGCAGAAGACCTTTGTCGCCTGGAACTCTAGCATTAATGTGTGACGAGCAAGACACAATGTTCATAAAGTCTCCAAACATTTGTACTTCTGAAATTCTTTCAGAGAGCCAGAAAATGACAGACGTCTATGCAGAACAGGAGAGGTGCATTTTGATTAAGTTTCGTGATACTCTCTTGAATCTGGCCAACTGTGCAAGAATCAAAGGTAAAGCAAACTACTGACAGTTTTCCATCCATTAACTGTTGCCACTGGTCCTCTAATCAATTCTTACCACATTGAAGCTAATTTTATATCAAAATTATGAAGTGTTCTAATGGTTCTAATGTTACAGGTTTTTTGTGCATTTATGACTGCCATATGTCTGAAACCAAGTAATCTTAGGTCATGCATATCCTAGGAGACCTTAATATGAGCATCGGGTATTGAAAATGTGAGCATTAGGCATTAGTCTTGTACAAAATTATATTAAATATTTGATGGGCTAATTGAGATCTAAGTTTCACCAGTGTCTGAAAACAAGCTGCATACAGATTCAATGTCGATTTGAGTGGAATCTAGTTTCTTAGGATGATATGCTGACTGAAATTGAGATCTATTGCTTGTTTCTATCTTAAATATTCATTTCCTATACAGCTTTCTGAGTATTAGCTTTTGCACAACAAATTATTGCTTCATGTTGCAGGAGAGAAGCAATCGAGAAGCATCAAGCCTTTTTGTTCTAATCACCATGGATCTGTTGGTAACGCTAGATCTCAATTTAGTGATGAAGAACCGACTCGCTTAGTAAATGCAATTCCTGCTTTCACCAATAACCATGTGCAGAACAATGCAATGTATCCCATACATGGAACAAAATCTTAAAAACTGGAAACTTAAAGTTGTATAGAAAAGGGGATGCTGTGGAGAGTTCGGTTGTGGATATGAGAGCTTGTGATGCTCTCATCTTTTTTAACTTATATAAAGTTGTTTTTTTGTTCTTTCTACACAATCTGATGCTACGATGCGTGGATAACTAGCAGTTTGCGAGGATGACTTTTATGTACAAGAGAGTTGTCGGTTTTAGTTGTGATGTATCTGTTATGTTCTAATAAATCTTAGTATAGAAATTTGTTGAGACTGGCAATGGGAAGAGTGTACGTTTTGTCGTGGATGTGCAAGGTATGGGTTGTCATTTCGTTTATGAGAAAAAAAAAACATTTAAGAATTTATTTTGTGTCGCAGGAGGCGTACTCATACAAGGGTTTACAACACAAATAAACTGCTACCACGGATAAGCGTAGCGTAGCTGGTCCAAAAGTTATAAGCGACTGTTTGGTTCAAAACCTATAAACATAGGGTAACAAATCTCATCAAGATATCAAATCCATAGTTTTTTATACATCGTCTTAGAATTTGTTATCTCTTGTTTGGTTCTACATGACTGTAAGATAGTAAATCTTACAAAATTTTATGTCTAGGTTGGTTCAATCTCGAGAAAAATCAGGATACCAAATTTGTAGAAACTTTTTCCCATCTTCATTTTGTTTGCTTCAAATGTTAAAAAAGAATGAAAAGTGCATAGGGTTACCTTGGCGAGTTTACCACCCACATAAAACAAAACAAAACCAACCCAACTTGGGCCAACGGTACCCAACGGCTATGAGCCAAATGTACAACATGCCCAATGGCTATATTGTGGCCGAAAATTGCCTATAAACCATGTAGCATCAATATCATCTCCACAAAATCAACAAGAAAATAGTTGAAATTTAGCAAATAAAACATGTAGCACCAATATCACCTCCACAAAATTAACAAAGAAAATAGCCGAAAATTAGCTATAAAACCTGTAGCCTCAATATCATCTCCACAAAACAAATAAGTAGACAAATCTGATCAACAATATTCCCTAGGCAAAACCCAAGTAGACAAATCTGATCAACAATATTCCCTAGGCAAAACCCAAGTAGGCAAATCTCATCAACAATATCCCCTGCGTCGCCTCAAAACTGACACTTACTTCAAGATATTACCTGACGCAGCGTGGAAGTGATAACCTCGGAATCCATCAAGGGTGTTCTCTGAATCCACGAAGAACTTCGAATCCACGAAGAACTTCGAATCCACGAAGAACTTCGAATCCATGAAGAAAATATTGAAAAGAGAAATTTTATTGATGAAAAGTTATTATCCTTTGGGGTTACATGACTCTTCTTAAATAGAAAAACAAATAAGACTCCTAGTAAGATTAGAATTATAAAAATAAAAAGTATCAAATAAGACTCCTAGTAAAACTAGAATTACAAAAAAAAAAGAAAGTGTCAAATTCTATCCTAAAAAGACTCCTTATAATAGAGGAAACAAATCATGAATCAAAATTGGTTTTGTTTCCTAATCTAATTTGACTCTAAAATTGAATTTATTTCCTAATCTATACTTCCTAATCTAAATAGACTCCAACTCAGATTAAGCGTCCTACATCAGTCTCCCCTTGTTAAAAGAAGCTCGACCCCGAGCTTATATTTGTTAGAATAGTAGCTTCATTGATAAATAATTTTCTTCTCTTGCAATGATCAGCATCCGCCTTGTATTTAGTATTGATTTTCTCCATTTGTTTTTTTACCTCCTCTGCTAGGACTTCTTTTGTATCAAACTTGTGTATGAATCTTTTTCATGACAAGTGTATGTAACTGACAGCACGTGGCTCTGTAGTTGACGTGAAAAACTCTTCCAAATATTTTCCTTGTTGCTTCCCATATACTAGTGTCGATGGTATCATCTCACCATTATTAAAATTATTGATGATTATTGCTTCAAAAAAATAATTTTCTTCCTCATACTGGTATCATCTCACCATTATTAAAATTATTGATGATTATTGCTTCAAAAAAATAATTTTCTTCCTCATACTCCATACACAATTCTTTCTATTGCTTCAAAAAAATAATTTTCTTCCTCATACTCCATACACAATTCTTTCATCTCCTTTATCTCAAGCAATGCACACATACCATCAATTGTCTCACTCTCTATTTTATCTTTCTCCTCCTTCAGGACAATATCAATATGTGTAACATCACTCACAATATCATGTAGAATATTCATCTTCATTAACATATCATCATCAACATCAGGAAGCTCAGGATGAATCTGTTGGCCCTTTGATTTTGATGATGATTTACCAAACACTTTATAACTAATTTGTTTTCTAGTATTTGTGGTTTGTTTTCCCTTTCAGGAATTCTACACATGGTGAAAAGCTATATACATCAAGAGTTAAAGATTCAAGATCATGTGTGCGCTTTTCTTAAGTATAAAAATAAGTTTGTTAACATATATTGTGTGATTATGTTTAAAGCTCAACATATATGCACACACAGTTTGATTTTCTTTCTATGAAAATGATTTTTGCCAAAACATCGTAACAATAGTTGATGTTTCTTGCTTATATGTTTTTCATAGTTCATAATACATATACAAAGTATTCATGATATACAAACACAATTTCATAAGTCATAGTTCAATTTTTGTGTTCATGAAAAACATGTTTTATGTACACTTTTCAAAAACAGTTAGTTTTCACAAACGAAAATTACATTTCCAAAAATTCCTTTTCAAACATGTTTATTTTCTCTTTTAGAAACATTCCCCAAAGTTTTACTATTTTTGGAAATAATCTAATATTTTTAACATATTTTTTAAGCCAGCCAAAACAGGTTCAAAACCTGTATTTTCTGTGTGTCAGTTTGCGGTCGATCGCCACGATCGATCGCCTGTAGTCCAGGAACCAAAATTGGTTTTTAATGGCTTGCGGTCGACCGTAGCATGTCCAGAGTCCTTCGCGGTCGACCGTCACGGTCGACCGCCTACCTTCCAGAACAGTATGCCCTCTTTTTGTTCTTTGTAGTCGACTGCCAGTATTTCACGGTCGACCGCCGATCTGACCGTTGTGTTGTAGCGGCTATTTTTTTATCTGATGTTCTGAGGGGATTTTGGTCTTTTCAATGTGGTTTTGGCTGATGTCTTGAGTGGGTATAAATACCCCAGTGCCTTCCTCTTTCATATTACTAAGAATTTTGTTTAAAGTGAGTTTTATAAAGAGATTAACAAGTGTTTAAGCTTGTTTATGGTTTGTTTCAAAAGAGGAGTTTTCTACAACAAGAAGAGGCATTCATTTCCAATTGAGGATCTCATCCTCATCATCATTCTACAGCCCTTCTTGTTTATTGAGAAGTTTTCTAAACTCATCTTTCATATAGCTTACTAATTCATTATTCACCTTCATATCTTAGCTATATTAACTTGAGTTGCAATTTCATTGTTCGCTTTTATCACACACACGATTGTTGAGCTTATAATATTTTCATACTATATATTGTTGGGTAGTAGTGTGTGATTTAGCGAGAGTGAGCTTCATTGTGTTCTCATTCATTATAGAGAACAAAACATTGTATTTGAACTTATATTGTGAGTATCACTTGTAATACACTTGTACACCGAGAGTAGTATGTGGTGAGAGACGGGGTCGAATCCAATAGGAGTGGCGTCGGTTGACGAACTTAGGGAGATGTTGCATCCGAGCACTTGAGGAGGAGGATACGGACTAGGCCAATACTTAGAGGGTGTAGAGTGTGATTGCAAGTGTGTAGTTGTAAAGTTTGTGGTTAGCTAGAAAACCGAGTATGAGGTGTAAACGTTATTCGGGTAAGCGTAGAAAACCCGGTTGTGATAGTGGATTTCTCCCCGGGAGTGGGGAGCGGAGACGTAGGATGGAAAGTCCAAACTCCGTGATCATATTGTGTGTTTGCATTGTTTATATTGCCCTATCACATTTGTATCTTTAGTTTAGATTGTTTACTCTTGTGTTGTTTATATATCCTTCCATATATTTCACCATATAAGATATATCTCTTTGTTCATATTGCATATTCTTGTTCATATCATATTGTACATCTATCTTGCAAGAATAATTTATTGATAAGATTTTATTAGCATAAAATCGGATTAGATTAGCATAAGACCCTAACCACCCCCCTCTAGGGTCTAATAGAATCTTGATGCTGACAAAATCTTCCTTTCCGGGGGTGAGCGTCTTGTTGTTTGCTACTAGAGACACCTGCCATTTCTTGTAGTTAGAAGGTAAGAGATGATCTCTTAATAATTTCTTCATCTTTGCCCACGTTCGAACCAGATCCTTTCCTTGATGGTATCGATTTGTCAGTACTTCATCCCACTATGCAGATGCTTTTTCTTTAAGCATGTAGACCACTAATTTAACTTTCCAATCTTCTGGGATTATATTATACTCAAAATACTTATCCACTTTATCAATCCAATCAAGGAAATCATCAGCATGAAGCTTTCCATTGAAGGATGATATTTTTAATCCTCCAGCATCATAGTTCTCCTTTCTTCGTTCCATTGAAGGATGATATTTTTAATCCTCCAGCATCATAGTTCTCCTTTCTTCGGTAGCCTCTATGATCGTCGCTGTAGAATTTATCTTGTGAAGTCAGATCACGTCGTTGGTGACCATCAATGCGATTTTGAACTCCCACCGTGTTCAGATGCTCAACCGCCATCGCAAGTCACTTAATGACAGTCTTCATCTGATTAACATCGGCCTTTAGCATGTCGAACTCAGTTCGAGAAATAGGGGCTTCATCACCTGCATCGGATTGGAGGAACGAGGCTCTGATACCAATTGACGCAGTGCGGTAGTGATAACCTCGGAATCCCCCAATGGTGTTATCTGAATCCTCCACGAAGAAAATACCGAAAAAAGAAATTTTATTGATGAAAAATTATTATCCTTTGGGGTTACATGACTCTTCTTAAATAGAAAAAAAATAAGACTCCTAGTAAGACTAGAATTACAAAAATAGAAAGTATCAAATAAGACTCCTAGTAAGACTAGAATTACTAAAAAAAGTATCAAATTCTATCCAAAAAAGACTCCTTATAGTAGAGGAAACAAATCATGAATAAAAATTGATTTTGTTTCCTAATCTAATTTGACTTTAAAATTGAATTTATTTCCTAATCTAAATAGACTCCAACTCAGATTAAGCGTCCTATATCAGTCTCCCCTTGGTGAAAAAAGCTCGACCCCGAGCTTATATTTGTTAGAATAGTAG